GCTGGCGGCGCCGTCGTGGTCGCTGGCGGCGCCGCGGGCAGCGTCTGCGCGGGCGGCGCCGTCGTGGTCGCCGGCGGCGGCGGCGGCGGCGCCGTCGTCGTGGTCGCGGGCGGCGTGGGCGCGTCGGAGGGCTTGGCCGTCGGCGCGTCGGAGGGCTTGGCCGTGGGCGCGTCGGACGGCTTGGCCGACGGCGCGTCGGAGGGCGTGGCCGACGGCGCGTCGGAGGGCGTGGCCGACGGGGCGTCGGAGGGCGTGGCCGACGGGGCGTCGGAGGGCGTGGCCGACGGCGCGTCGGAGGGCGTGGCCGACGGGGCGTCGGAGGGCGTGGCCGACGGGGCGTCGGAGGGCGTGGCCGTGGGCGCGTCGGAGGGCGTGGCCGACGGAGCGTCGGAGGGCTTGGCCGTCGGCGCGTCGGAGGGCGTGGCGGTGGGGGCGTCGGAGGGCGTGGCCGTCGGAGCGTCGGAGGGCGTGGCCGACGGCGCGTCGGAGGGCGTGGCCGACGGCGCGTCGGAGGGCGTGGCCGACGGCGTAACAGTGGGGGCGCCCGTGGGGGCACAGGTTTCCGTCGAGGCGTCGAGATCGCAACAGCCCGTCGTGCCGCACGGCGCGACGAGGTCGGGATTGTCGGTCTTGGCGTAGCAATACGGCCGGACGTCACAGAGGGCGCTCGGGAACGTGCCGCTGATCTCGTTGTTCTCGAGGTACCTGCGACGCCGAGGGTCGGTCGCGCGCCGCGCCGCGCGTCAGGGACGCGGGGGGAACTCGCAGGGACTTCAGCGCCGAGAGCTTGCCGATCTCGGTCGGGAGCGGGCCGTCGATCTGGTTGTAGTCGAGGTACCTGCGACGCCGAGGGTCGGTCGCGCGCCGCGTCGGGCGTCGGGGACGCGGAGGGAACTCGCAGAATCGTCAGCGCCGTGAGCTGGCCGATCTCGGTCGGGATCGGACCCTCGATCTGGTTGTAGTCGAGGCGCCTGCGACGCCGAGGGTCGGTCGCGCGCCGCGCCGGGCGTCGGGGACGCGGGGGGAACTCGCAGGTCCGTCAGCGCCGTGAGCTGGCCGATCTCGGTCGGGATCGGGCCGTCGATCTGGTTGGTGTCGAGGTACCTGGACGTCGAGGGCCGGTCGCGCGGCGCGCCG